AATTTAAAATAATTTAAACAATTTAATAATTGATGATTTTTACTTATTTAATAAAGTAAAGTAATAAAATGACTTTGGTATTTATTACTTGCCGGAATAAATAAACAGATTTGGCAATAGCGCGGTTGATTGTACCCATAACCTGTAGACGTGGATGAGTGTGTGAGTTAAACATTTCTCTTTCTGTAACTATATTTCTATCCTTTTGTTTTTTCTCAGCTGTTGACGCGATGTTGTCAAATGTTTATTCGAATAAATGGCTGACGATAAACCAGTTACAAACATTAAATTTGACTTTAAATATTTCAACAAATTATATCGGTAATGTATTTATTATTAAATTGTTTTTATATTTTGCAATAATCCAACGTTTTGCGTGTATAGTTTTTTATCCGTTAAAGTTGGGAGGTTAATATTGACAAAAAATAATTAAAATCTCGACAAAACGTTTGTCCGCCATAAGAGCCCGTGTATAAGGAGATAAAATATGTAATTTTTAAAATTTAATATCTAAGTAACTAAACGGTGAATCTTTTTTCAATTTTGGGATTAGATAAATTACGTATTTATTTATACGTATACTTGATTTCAAAGCTCAAAGTTGGAAATTATTTTTTACATTAGATTCGCTCGAACCTCCGTAAAATAAAAATTAATAACTTACTTAACAGATTGTATAACAAATATAATAATCCATTTTCCATAATCTCCCCACAATTTTTTAGCAGTTACTTCAAATAACGCTTCAGTATACTCTAGAGTAGATAACCATATTTTTATTTGCGACTTGAATTGTGGTAGTTGCAAATTTCTGTACTTTATACTATAAATTAGCCGATCATTTAGCAGTATCAATAAATTGGGCAACGAGTAGATAAATTCGCTAGCCATCGACGATTCTGAAAAGCGACCTAAAAATTGAAAGAAAAAAATTTTATTAATTAGATCAATAGACATATTCTCCTGATAAATCCACGTTGCGTCAATATAAGGGCATTAAACCTACGCCACGTAGATATAAGGGCCTTAAATCCACGTTGCGTGGATTTATCAGAATTTTTGTATGTATGGATAGAGACTTTAAATAAATAAATAAATATACCTGCAGTAAAATATGATAAAAACTGTATGGTCTTTTCAATATCAGCAATTGAATGCGGATTTGATGATATCCATTGCTTGTAAGTATCCCAATACGATTTTTTTTTCGGTAATGACTGGCCGACCATTTTTAAATAACAAACTTTGATTAAAATAAACACAAAAAAGTAAATTTTTTATTAAAAAAAAAATTATTTATTTGTTTTGGTCATGTATAACTTTTTAATTATTCAGATTATTTTTTTAGGTTGTTTTCGAATTATTGTTATGTTTTCACCAGTGCTGCCAGAGCTCAACTATCTCAGTACCCTCGTGACTAGATTGAATTACCCGTTTTTACCCAACAGAGGGCTAGGCTTTACCTGAATTAAGTGCTATCTAATAAAATATTATTTTTCCGCGCAAAATTATAAAAAAAAAACATTTAAATTATAACAATTAAATTTTAATTTGATGTTCTTAAATAATCAGGAGAATACATAAATAATTTAAATCAGTAAATTATGCGGTTAAATTTATTATATTAAATAATACAAAAAAAAAAAATTTAAGTATGGGTATATATGATTGTATATAATTTTCAAAAATAAAAAAAAAATTCTGTTAATTTAAAAATGAAAAGAAAAAATTTCGCTCACCAAGTACATACCAAAATTGTTTCTTATAATTGCACGACTCATGATGCGAAGCATCAGAGAAGAGTGCTTATTTTTTATAACTAACTGAGCATTATGAGTCGTGTATAACTTTTTGTATATATCAGTTTAATTATGTTTACAATCATCAAGATAAATGTCTTGATTTAGTTTTTTCTAATTTGGCTTGCTTGGTGGGGGGATTGTCCTGGTCACTGGTTGGTGTGGATCCTTACCACCCGGTTCTCAATGTTATTATCAAATATCATAAAGCAGTGAAAACTGCTTGCTCTTCTCCTATTCATCATGAGATAAACTTTAAATCCATTGATAGTGATAAATTAGTAGTAGAGCTACTTGCTGTTTTGACTGGGATTCTGTCCTCCAGCCGAGCAACCCAAACATTAACTGTAATTCTTTACACAATGTATTAAACTCTATCTTTAAGTCATCCGAAATAGTTAAAAAGAAAATTATTTTACAAGATAGATAATAGTTTGGATGTTTATAAAATGAGTAGTTCTAAATGTTTTACAAAACTTTGTATGGCAAACATTGTATAAACTGGAGCATTGAATTTACTCTTGCTAATTAATTCTATAGTGACTTATATAAATATTAATATTAATTTTTAAATTAAAATAATGTATTCAATTCTATGTAATATGGAACCCGATTAATGGCTTTGCTGTAAGGTTCATTGAACTAATAAAATAAAATAAAATAAACATTTGACTATAGTATTTTTTCACAAAATTCGGACCTGACAACACCGCGCTTAACAGCTGTTTATATTTATCTCACTGTGTAGTGTTGAGTTGAAAAACATAACCCATAAAAATACACAGGAATTATCAAAATTCAAAATTCGCGCGTTCTATTCTGTGCAACGTTGCCACACTGCGCTGAATCACGTGGATTATTTATTTTTAAATATGTCGGCCTGAAATTTTCGTGAATTTCTCATCTTTTGCATTAAAATATCTTTAAGAGCCTTTGTCAGAAAATTTTTATTTCATTTTTAACGTATTTTACGAGAGTTGATTGACTGAAATAGAAGTTTTTTGTTTTTTAATCTTCCTATGAGGTAGTCACATAAATCGATATATGTGCAATCCGCCAATAGTCTCTATAGGCTACATGTTAAATTTCAATTTTTTAATAATTTATTATAGGATAACCCTTCATCAGATCTATTCCAAAAAATTAATTTAGACGTATGAGATAGTTATTGATAACTCATAACATATCAAAAAATTAGCTACCTAAAAAGAAAAGAGATTAATTTAATCTGTCTAATTTAGTTTTATTAGCTCTTTATTTATTATTGATTATGATTAAAACCAAAATTGTACTAGATCTAAACATTTTTCTATTTTTAAACTCTTACATTTTTAAAATTAACATAAATATTTATATCTATGCTCCACTATTTTGTACTACATAAGTTTTTTCCATGTTTTTTTTTATTGTCTAAATTTACATGCATATCAGTGTACTTTTCTCTATCCATTATTCATCTGTTTTTATTATTTATTAAAACATTACGTATTTTAGTATACATTATGTAAATTTACTCCATTTTTTAACTTATATATTCTAGATTAGACGCGATATAAATTTAAAAAAATTCCACTCCTCAGTAAAAATCATTAAAGATGATTATCTCTTACTTTCGTCAATTTTTCAGTGACTAGAACTGAAGAAACTTTATATGATTGGAAAAAAAAAATTTCACTTAGCCAGCTAATTAAATAATCTTTGTCTTTATTTACTTAGTTAAATATAAAATTTAAATATTGCTTACCGGTAGTGTAGAAACAAAACCAACAATTTACTGTTTACTATCTCGGAGATGTTTGGTGTAATGATAAAAGTCACGAAAGAGTAATATTATGTACATTGTCTATAGATAAATGTACGTCATAGAAAATCAAATCTTGTTATTTTTAAATTCACAGGAACATTATTACATCGGATATAACATCGTCAATTTCCCATAATACAAAGTGTTTTCCTCTCTCGTGCCTTAAAAGATTATAAATTAAATTATATTTTTTAACAAATTATATTTTCATTTATATTATATACCCATAATACTAAAATACAACTTGTTTCTCTATTAATTCTAAATGTTTACAGTAATATACAATAACATAATGCCCGTACGAACAATAATAATGATGAAAGTAGTAATAGTAATAGTTGTAAAGAAATTCATACGTATTTATAGCTAATATATTTAGTAATGTACATTATTGATATAATATGGATATGAATATAAGCATTATAAGTTTTAAAGCTAGCAAGAAAACGCCTTTTGCATTACTTTCACATTTTATAATTTTCTTTCGCCACTTGGTTAGGCCAATTAATTATTCTCTCGTATATAACATAATTATATATACAACAGAGATTATTTATTAATTTATAGCTTCCAGCGAGAAAGGGAGCCCCAGTATTTTTAACGTTAATTTATCAACACTTTCAATTGGATAAGAAAATTAGCACGCACGAAATTTAAAATTCTTTTTTTTATTTTTCATATTTAATCCAGCGAAATTAATTTAATTCCATGAATTAATTAAATAGTTCAGTTCTTGGAAGGGATGGTCAAAAGTCATAAAGGTAAATGATACCTTAGGATTATCGCCAGGTGAATTTTATTATTATTAATTGTATCTTTGTACTTCTCTAGTATGAATGACAAGTTCGACAAAGAAATTCTTGAAAATTGGCTTTTGTTGACGCGAACGATAAAATTTTGGTGACAAAAATCACCGGTAGATCTGACAGATGAATAGAAAGTTTTATAATAAGATTGAGGTTAATCGATTACATGTGACGACTTTTACCGCGACGACAAAGGAACATTAAGTAATAGCCCATTTTATTGACACTGTAAAAATACGCTTTATATTTTAGTATTTTAACCGGATTTAAAGTAAATATAGAATTAATTCAATATTTTTCTCATCAGTTGACTAATCTACATTATTAAGAGAATAAGAAAAATTTTGTTTCCAGGATAGTCATATGATAAAATCGGTTTTGTAAGTGAAATTTAGTGTCATTGCAAAGGTCTTGACTTGAATTTGTTCCATATCAAGGTTTTATTTCATTCTCACCGATAGTCAATTTATTATGATAAATATTTAGGCTGCATTTGAAAATGATCTATCTCTAGATATATAATTAAGAAATGACCTTTTATTTTGTGAAATATTGACATTTTTAAAGATATAAGCTCATCCCGATGTTACACTTATCGAGTGCTTTCATTTGAGTACCCACATCAATTTTTTATATATTTTATATATTTATATATATATATGTATATATGAAAAATGTATCAAAATGCATGTGGGTACTCACATGAAAGCTCTTGATGATTGTAACATCGGGATGAGCTTAAATCTTTAAAAAGGTCAATAATTAAGAACTGACTTTGCTATCTTGTCAACTAATGATATTTTCGAAGATAAAAGCTCATTCCGATGTTACACTTATCGAGCGCTTTCATTTAAGTACCCACATCAATTTTTCATATATTTTATATATTTATATATATGTATAAATGAAAAATATATCAAAATGCATGTGGGTACTCAAACGAAAGCTCTTGATGATTGTAACATCAGGATGAGCTTATAACTTTAAAAAGGTCATTAGTTAAAAAAGTGCAGTGCGATTTAACAAAATTAATTATTTAATAAAGCAAAATTTTAATTTATTATAGTTCACAAGTCACGGCAGTCACATAATGACCGGAAGGTTGCTAGTTAAAAAAAAAATAATTAAATTCAAAGTTATCCAGAGCAAAATAATGTAAACATTTAAAATTATCATCAAAGAGTCAGTCAGCCTCTAAAAGTCCATAAATTAAAGTGCATTGCATCAGTTAATGAAAAATTTCGACAATTTGTGGGAATCTAACCTTTCTCCTGGCTCAGAGATGGCAGATAGCTTTTTCGATGTCTATCACACGCTTTTGTTATTAAAAATAAAACTCTTTGAGGCTGAATGAATAGAATAGAGCGTAACATTATAATAGAAATAACTTACAACTGAATGGAAAATATAGACCGTAGAAGAGACCATTTTTGTTTTGAATATGCAGCGTGGAATGACGTAAATCCGGGCACTCAAAGACCTCGACTTGGACTCGGTGTACTCTAACTCAGCACCTGAGTACAAGTTGCTTCTGTTATTCAGCTACGTACTGACGGAAAAGAGATGTTTCTAGGTCGCTCTCGCGATAATGCCTGCTCCAACAGTTTCAAATCACTTTTCTCATCTCCTGTCTCGGTTCTTTGCTTTGTATACTTTGTGTACTTTGTAGCAAGGTAACTAAACGTCTAATGGCCTTCGGTTGTCTTTGTACGCCAGTTTTAAATCTAACTTTTCAATTTCACGTCATTTAAATTAATTTAATTAGAATTTAAAATTCAAAAAAAAACATTTACTTTGATTAGAAAACAGCAGCCTAGATT